TGCAATGCGGTTCTGAATCACGTTTGCGAGTCTGCTATCAGTGACCACCTCAAGTCCAAGACTCATCCCAAGAGGAAGGCAGAATTTGAAAAGCAGAATGTGAGAAAGAAGCAGAGGCCCCTGACTGCACCTCTTCAGTGCAACAGTACTGCACAGATAAAAGTCAGTGTTATCCAGGACTTCGTGAAAATGTGCCTGGAAGCCAACATCCACTTGAGAAGGCTGATCACCCTGTCCCTGCTTTCCTGTCCCGCCGTGTGAAAAATGGAGGCTCTAAGTCAGACCAGCTGAGGAGAGAATATCTGCCTGATAGACAGGAAAATGAGAATCAGCTCAACTCACAAGATTGTTGACCAGGAGGTTACCACCATTGTGATCAAGATATATAATGTGGAGTATTAAAGTTATGTGTTCATTAAAAAAAAAAAAAGAAACCTAAGGGCATTAGAGAGTTGGACAATGACCAGGGAGGATAGAAAGAGAATTGATGCCTTTGAGTTGTGGTGCTGGAGAAGAGTATTGAGGGTACCATAGACTGCTAGGAAAACAAACAGATTTGCCCTGGAGAGGGTTAAACCAGGCTACTTCTTGGAGGCAAGGATTCTGGGGCTTTGTCTGACATACTTTGGACATGTAAGGAGAGACAGGTCCTTGGAGAGGGACATCATGCTTGGGAGGGTGGAGGGACGGCGCAGGAGGGGAAGACCTTTTATGAGGTGGATTGATTCAGTGACTGGGGTAATCGGGATGGGTGTGTCAGAGGCAGTGCAATTGGCACAGGATAGAGCAGGGTTTAGGGCTGTTGTACATAGGGTCGCTATGAGTCGCAAGTGACTCGACAGCACATAACAACAATGACAACAAGGGCTGGTGAACTGTTTGTGCCTCTGATCAGAGAAAGAGTCACTGGGTTAGTGGCAGTTTGACAGGTCAGTGGAATTGTCCAGGCGAATGGAGGCCGTATATGGTAAGGGCAGGAGTCTAGGGGGTGGGGGTGGGGGTGGAAGGAAGAGCCCAGGGTTTGACCTGCACTCAGGTGCATCTCCTCTTAGTTCTCTCTCTCCCTCTGCTGTCCTGTGCTTGTCACTCAAAGCCTCCTCTCCCAAGAGTCCCTAACTCCAAGCTCAGCTAGGAATCTGCCGCCCAGAGTTCATTGGGCCCAGCCTCTTTGATGGACTTCTGAGTCATTTTCCGGGCAAGACTACGGTAGCAGTCCTCAGCTGGCTGTGTGTATTGTGCACGTACAAAACACAAACTTGCCGTTATGACAGAGTTGTGCCTGCGCTTGAGTGTGTCAGAGATTGTGAGGATGGGGCAGGACAGGACAGGCTTCAGATCGCTTGTTCACAGGGTCACTGTGAGTCCTACTGCACTTGATGGTATCTAACAACAACAATTTCACTGGGTAAAATCTGCCGTCAGGGACCTCTCCAAATTATGGAGATACCATGATGTCAATTTGAGGACTAAGGTACGTCTGATTCAGGCCAATGTCTTTCTAATCACTTGTTGGGGGAAACCGAATATCAAATTCACTAATAGTAGACCAAATGCAGCATCAGGATGGATGGTGAAGAGATTGAGATTGTACACAGCTTTAGTTTGCTTGGCTCCACAGTCAACAGTCTTGGCACCAGCAGCCAGGAAATTAAAAGGCGTATTGCCATGGGAAAGTCTGCTGTTAGGGACCTCTCCAAAGTACTCAAGAGCAATGGTGTCTCCCTGGAGACTAAGGTGCGTTTGATACAGACCACGGTCTTCGAAATCACTTGTTATGCATCAGAGAGTTGGACAATGACCAAGGAGGATAGAAGAAGAATTGATGTCTTTGAGCTGTGGTGCTGGAGAAGAGTATTGAGGGTACCATGGACTGCTAGGAAAACAAACAGATTTGTCCTGGAGAGAGTTAAACCGGGTGGTTCCTTGGAGGCAAGGATTCTGAGGCTCCGTCTAACATACTTTGGACATGTTGTGAGGAGAGACCAGTCCTTGGAGAAGGACATCATGCTTGGAAGGGTGGAGGGACAGAGCAGGAGGGGAGGGCCCTCTATGAGGTGGATTGATTCAGTGACTGGAATAATCGGTATGGGAGTGTCAGAGACAGTGCGATTGGCACAGGACAGAGCAGAGTTTAGGGCTGTTGTACACAGGGTCGCTATGAGTCGCGACTGGACGGCACATAACAACAACAACAGACCAAATGCTGTATCAGGAAATGAGGGAGGCTTAATACAAGCTGAAGGTCACCTTGTGGCACTAAGGTGTTCCCTAAGAGTCAACATTGTTCTTAGTTTATATCAACTGAATCCCTCCCTCCTGAGATTAGCATAAAGAGGAATGTGGCCTTATCTGCAAAAGACTTAAACATGATCCTTTGTTTTTGTTTTGTACTTCCTTATGATTTTACTTTGTCTACCTTCCTCATGATTCTCAATAAATACTCAGAGAAGCATGGCTTGGGGCCTTCGGTCATGGGAACTGTTGGCCCCCTGTTTTTCATGCTCTCTGTTCTATATCATTTCTGGTAGTCAGCCTCATTATTAATAATTATAAAAATACTTTACCCTCGGTCTGCAACAACTTGCTATGCATCTGCGAGCTGAATAATGAATAAGAATGACAGAAGAATTCATGCTTTAGAGCTGTGGTGTTATAGAAGAATGCTGAAAATCCTGTGAACGACTGAAAAAACAGACAGATTTTGGAGAAAGTGCAGCTTTGGAGGCAAAGATGAACAAACTGTCTCACATACTCTGAGCCATTTGCTAAGAAAGGCTATTTCTTGGAAAGGGACATGATGCTTGGGAAGATAGAGGGTCAGTGAACGAGAGGAAGAGCCTCAATGAGATGGATTGACAGGGTGACTTCAGCAGTGGGCCCGAGTGTGTCAGAGATCATCGTGAGGATGGCACAGGAGAGGACAGGGCTCAGATCTGTTTGTTCACAGGGTCGTTGTGAGTCGACTTGATGGCACCTAATGACAACAACAACAACAACAACAACAACAATCTGTCTGTCCTGATGCTAAATAACGTCTTCATCTCAGACCTGGCTCCTCTTGGAAGTCTCAAAATGAGGTGTTTTTTTTCCTCTCGAATGCAAGCAACAGATGCTGGCGAGGTTGTGGAGAAACTGGAACCCTTATTCACTGTTGGTGGGAGGGTAAAATGGTGCAACCACTGTGGAAGGCGGTATGGCGCTTTCTCAAAAAGTTGCAAATAGAGATACCATTTGACCCAGCAACTCCACTACTGGGAATATAACCCAAAGAGACCATAACTGACATCCAAGCAGATATATGTATACCCGTGTTTATCGCGGCTCTGTTCACAATAACAACGAGTTGGAAACAACCTAAGTGCCCATCAACAAACGAATGGATAGAGAAGCTGTGGTATATTCATACAATGGAATGCTATGCTGCATTGAAAAACAAGGAACTCATGCAATATTATTCAAAATGGGTGACCCTGGAGGACATTATGATGAGTGAAATATCTCAGTCGCAAAAGGACAAATATTGCATGGTGCACTGTTGTAAAATGGGATTGATATCAGGGTTGCGGTAAGAAAACTGAGAAAAACTGGGTAAATTGTGTATACTGCACTGAAACAGATGACAGTCAATAATTTAAAAGCGATGTATGATAGGGTATTATGGTTATCACAAGAGTCCACAATTAAGGTTGCATAGTGGAATGTACTTGGGGTGGTGGGAGGGGTGCGGGGGGGATTGTGTACCAGGGAAGGAGTGTTTCTTTTACTTTTGAAAGAGAGGAGCGAACTGGGGGGTGGGGGGAGAGGGCTGGGCGGGGTGAGAAGTGCAGCAATGAATGAATGGAAATCCAAAATCTCTGTAAATGCTCATTAAAATTATTTTTTTAAAAAAATGAACCCTGGGGGTTGGTGTGCTAACGCCAAAGGCCTTGCCTCTCTGGTAGTTCAAATCCAGCCACGGGGTTACATGTGTGAATGATGGGCAATCGCTTCCGACGTGGACGTGACTTACAGCCTCCAGGACACTGTGGGGGGGTCAGCTGTGAGCTTAAATATGGAGAGACAGTGATCCTACATATGTTCTCACACACATACGCATCCTTAGATCTATTTCTAGACTCTTCTGTTCCAAGATTCTTCCCTCTTCCTGTGTCAGGCTACGTGTATTATTTTTAGAACTAGGCAAAAACAGTTATTCTATTATTTTTCTTTTCTTTCTTTTAGAAAAAAAAAAAAAAGAACAAGCCCTTTGGAACTTCTGCAGGAGCCGGACGGGGCAGAAACATCTGAAGGTGGGAGGGCAGCTGAGAGAAGTCAGGGACAGGGAGGTGGAGAGGCGCGCACACACACACACACACACAGAGCCAGAAGAAGCAGGAAGGACCAGCTGCTTATAAAATAAAGACTTTTCCTTTTATTTCAAATCAATCCATTCCAAGTTAGTGTTTCGAGTTCAGACAGGGGGTCTGGGCCCACCAGGATGCAAGAGGGGCCAGGGGTTCGTGTCCCCCCTCCCCAGTTCAGTCTCTTGGAAGGGAGGGCCTGCCAGCCCTAGATGGGAGTTGTTGGCCATCTGTCCAGCCCTGGGCCTCGGCCTGCCCCCTTCAGCTTACTCCCAGGGCTAAGGAGAGATGGAGGGGACAGGATGGGGGCGTGGCGGGGTGTCCTGTTGGGGTGTCCGTGGCCTGTGGGGTTAGTGGGGTCTTCTCCGGCCTCCAGGGAAAGAACTGGAGAGAGATCCAGCGCGCAGGGGTGAATCCAGGCCAGGGGGTCAGAGCACACAGCCTCACTCCTCAGCCCAGACCTCCAGCCCCCCCCCCACATGGCCTGACAATGGGGGGCTGCATCCCTGCTGTGAATCAAACGGTGTGTGCGTGCCAAGGGGGTTCTCCCAGGCCGCTCTGCCCGTCATCTGACTCAGTTCTCAGGGTTAAGGACAGGGGAGGGCAGAGGCCAGGCTGAAGCACATGGGTGCCCCTGGAGCTCACCCCTGCAGCTCACCGGAAGGCGGGGGCCGGCTGCAGCCTGGCGGGGAGGAGAGGCTCAGATAGACGACTGCCACTGCACGAAGCGCTTGGATTCCTGCGCGCGGAAGGTTTGGGCTGAGGGGGCTGCGGGGAGACCTGGCGGTGTGCTGGGGTCCCGGCCCCTCCGTCCTCCTTCAGAGGGGCTCCAGGCCCCCAGCCCGTCCTCCCTCAGACCCGGGAGTGCCCCGGAACCCCTCCTCCCTCAGGCCTGAGAGTGTCCCCCAACACCTCTTCCCTCAGACCTGAGAGTGTCCCCCAACACCTCTTCCCTCAGACCTGAGTCCCCCAGACCCTCCTCCCTCAGATCCATTGAGTCCTGACCCACAGACCTTCCTCCTTCAGACCCAGGAGTCCCCCGGATCCTACCCCCTCAGACCCAGGAGTCCTTACCCCCAGCCCCTCCTCCCTCAGATACAGGAATCCCCCAGACCCTCCTCTGTCAGACCCAGCAGAGACCCAAATCCATCCTCGGTCAGACTCAGGAATCCTGACCCCCAGCCTTCTTCCCTCAGACATAGGAGTCCCCCAGGCAGGCCTTCCTGAGTCCGACTCAGGAGTCCTGACCCCCATATCTCTTCCCTCAGACCAGGGGTTCTGACCCTCAGACCCGGGGAGTCCTGAGCCCTAGCCCCTCCCTCCTTTATCCTCAAACTGAGGAGTGCAGAGGCCCAGCCCTCCTCCCTCAGACCTGAGAGTCCTGGGAGTCAACCTCCCAGCCCCTTCTCCTCCCTCAGACCCTGCAGTCCCGACACCCCCAGCCCCTCCTCCCTCAGACCCAGGTATCCAATACCTGAGGGTTGAAAGGGTCATCATCGTCCGTGTCATCATAGTCGTCACTGGGGTGGGAGGGGGCAGAGGCAGAGAGATATAGCACCGGGAGCCTTCAGGCGGCTGCACCCCCCACGTGTCTCCGGGTGCCCCCTCCCGCCCCCGCCGCCCCGCCCCCCCTGACCTGGGCGGGAAGAACGTCCAGGCGCGGGGCAGGCTGCAGAGGGCGGTGGCCAGCGCCCCCGCGGACAGCAGCGAGAAGAGCAGCAGGCAGAGCAGGCCCTCCAGGGCGTCCTCACACAGGCCGCGCAGCGCCGCGCCGTAGTCCTGGGGGGACAGGGGGTCAGCCGCGGCACCCCAACCCGACGTGCACCCCGCAAAGAGCAGCCACAATGCGAACCCCCAATGTACACCCCACAATGCATGCACCTCACAAAACACACTCCACAGCACACACACACAAAGGACACCCCACAATGCACTCTCCACAAAGGACACCCCACAATGCACTCTCCACAAAGGACACCCCACAATGCACACATCCCCCAAAGCACACCCCACAATGCATACACCTCACAAAACACACTCCACAGTACACACACAAAGGACACCCCACAATGCACTCTCCACAAAGGACACCCCACAATGCACACCCTCCACGCATACACCTCACAACACACACTCCACACCACACACACACACACACACACACACACAAAGGATACCCCACAATGCACACATCCCACAAAGAACACTCCACAACACACACCCCACAACACACATCCACAACACATATACCTCACAAAACACATCCCACAACACACACCCCACAAAGGACACCCCACAAAGGACACCCCACAATACACACTCCACAACGCACACCCTCCACGCATACACCTCACAACACACCCCACAACACACACCCTCCATGCATATACCTCACAAAACACACCCCACAGCACACACACCCCACAAAGGACACCCTATAAAGCATACACCTCACAACATGCACCCATAATGCATACACACCTCACAATACACATCTCCCACACAGCACACCCCACAACACATACACCCCACAAAGCACCACCCACAGCACACACCTCCCACAATGTGCACCCCACAATGCACACTCCTCATAACACACGCCCACAACACTCACACCTCACAAAACATCCCACAACACACACCCCAAGAGGACACCCCAGAAAGCACAACCCACGGTGCACACCCCCAGAAGACATATACCTCACAAAACACATCCCAAACACCCCCACACACAAAGGACACCCTGCAAAGCATACGCCTCACACATCCCATAATGCACACTCCACAACGCCCCCCCCCAACGCACACCCCACAGCACACACCCACAAGATTGTGACTAACAGAAGGCTTGGCAGGTGGGGGACCCATGTCAAAGTGCCTTGGAAGAAAGGCCTGGCAAACTGCTCGTGAGAAATCAGCCCGTGAAAATCATTGGGACCCGTTGTTGTTAGACACCCTCAAGTCTACTAGGACTCAGAGAGACTCCATGCACGACACAACTGCACCTTGTCCTGTCTCGCGTCACCCTCCCTGTTTCTGATACACTTGATCCCTTCAGTCACTCTGTCAATCCATCTTGTCGAGGGTCTTCCTCTCTCTCTCTGACCTTCCACTTTTCCCAGCAGGATGTCATTCCCCAGAGGCTGGCCCCTCCTGACAACATGCCCGAATTACTTGAGAGGAAGTTTCTTGCCTCTACGGAGCACCTGATTGCACTCCTCTAAGATAAGTTTATGTGCTCCATTGGCCACTCATGGGATATTCAATATTCTGTGTCAACACCACAATTGATCGGCATTGGTTCATCTTTGCTATTCCTTCTTCATTATCCAACTTTCAGATGCTCAGGAAGTAATTGAGAAGACCATGGCTTGGAGCAGGTGCACCTTAGTCTTTAAATGGACATCCTTGCTCTTTAGCATTTTGGAGAGGTCCTGGACAGCAGATTTCCCCAATACAATACCAAGAGTCCACTGGATGACAGTGCGTTTCGTCAAGAGGGAGTATGGCGCAAACAATTTGATGCTTTCTGCTGGGAACAGAAAGGCTGGAACTTGGAAGAAACACTTGGTGGTCTGTTTCCGGGAAAGGAGCCATTGAAAGCCCTTCTCTCACATACATAGGTTCTCAAGCATTGAGTCCACTCCAGGGCAAGGTGGTCCCTGGTCTGGGGGGAGGAAAAGGATAGGGGCTGAAGGTGTATCCACACCCCTTACAGGTCAGGGTAATGTTTCAGGACTTTAATCTGTGCACAATGGGAATCCCAGGAGGGTTTAATCTGAGAAAGCGCTGAGCGGATTTGGTTTTAAAGGGATAACTGATTGGTGCTGGGAGGACAGGTTCCTCCGGCAGAGAAGAGGTGAGAGCTGAGCATGGTGGATGTGGTGGGTGGGGTTCCACAGAGGTTTCAGGGGGAAACAGCCAGCTGAATTGTGGGAGGTTACGGCAAAGAGCAAAAAGCCAAAGGATATTTCTATAACAAAGACATAATGTGGAAAAAGCAATCAGTGTCACAGAGTGGAGGATGTGCAAGTTTGCAAAGGTTTTGGTCTGCAATTAAATAATAATAAATTTATATTGTTCTATATTATTTTAATAATAATAATTATTATTATTCTGGGTTTCTGACTTGAGCATTGGTGTCTGATACGGAGCCAGTGAAAGAGGGAGGGGTCTCTGCAGGATGCAAAGTGTTAATGTGCTTAGCTGCTAAAGGCAAGGATTGGAGGGTTGTCGCCCCAGAGGCACTGTGGAAGAAAGGCCTGGCTATCTACATCTGAAAAAAGCAGCCACTCAAAGTCTCATGGACCATGAGCCTGAGACCAGAAGCACAAGATGGTGTCCACTACCCATTATTGCAGCCACTGTGTTAGTCCATCTCGTTGAGGGTTTTCAAGCACGATGTCCCTCTCCAAGGAATAACCTCTCCTAGCAACATGCCTAAAGTATGTGAGAGACGCTTTACCACAGCTTGAAGGTATCGATTCTTCTTCCATATTCACCTATAGTCATCGTCCAGCCAACAATCAAGTAGCGTGGACAATAACACAAGGGATATACTCATTGCTTAAGACTATCAATCATCCAAGACAAAAAAAGAAAGGGCAGTGTTGGTGCACGAATAAAGCTCAGAAGGCAGGAAGGGGTAGGTTGGGATCGGTGGAAATGAGAATCACAGAGAGGAAGCAGGAAAAGTAGAGATAGTGTCATTAACGTCGCAAAAGAAAATGTGTAAAGGTTGAATGGAAACGTGATTGGCTTTGTAAACTTCCACTCAAATTCCAATAAAATAAAGAGTAGGAACTGACGAGAAAGCAGCTGATTTTGTTTGTGGAGCGTTCTCTTCCGAGTATTAGCAATCGCTGGCATAGATGCCTTTTTGTCTTCACCACAACCTTGCCACACAGGGATCAACGCCCTCGCTCCAGCTTTTGCAGAAATTCAAGCCCAGAGAGGATAAGTCACTTATAACATAGTCCAGACGGGCAGCGCTGGGATGCGAGCAAAGGTCCTTTTGCTGCTGGAAGGCAGGGGCTCTGGGAAGAGGGACTTGGGGAGGGGGGCGGGTTCACCTTGTGCAGGCCACGGCAGTGCAGCAGAGCCACCAAATGGTGGAAGTTTCCCTCTGTCACATTGAGTGTCTCCTCCAAGGACAGCAGAGGTCTCTGTGGTGGGAAGAAGGTAGGTAGAAGACAGACCACGCCCATAAACCGTACCCACGCCCCGTAGCCACACCCACACAGAGAAGCTCCGCCTCGACCTATAGGATCCACCTCTTTGTGCAGCTCCACCCACCCCGGGAAGCACTCCCTCTTCGCCACACCCTCGCCAAGAAGCACCACCTCAACCTATAGGCTCTGCCTCTTCATGCAGCTCCACCCACATCAAGAAGCACCGCCCCATTTTTACAGGCCCCACCCCTTCATGTAGCTCCGCCCACACCCTCACCAAGAAGCACCGCCTCTACCTATAGGCCCAACCTCTTAATGCAGCTCCACCCACACTGATAAGCACCGCCCCATTTCACAGGCCCCGCCCCTTTGCGTAGCTCCACCCACACTGAGAAGCACCGCCTCATTCCACATGTCCTACACCCCTGACTTCAGTGTTGAGGGTCAGAACTGACCTCCTATTGAAGGGCCCAGCCCCCTCCCAAAGGCCCCCTGCCACATCTAGCCAACGCACCCCACTCTGCCAGCCCTGATATTCTCTCAGGCCCTTGTCCATATCCTGCTGACCCTGAATTCCACCAGCCTCACCAGCATTCAGAAGACTCCATGCTTGACCAGTCCCATTTTGGAGGCTCAACCCACACTAAAAGCCCGCCCACACCTGAAAATATGTGGGATCCACCCACATTGAGTAGATTTACCCCCATTCTGCTATCCACACTCAGGATGCCCTACCTGTACCCTCCAAAGCCTGGCCTACACCTGATGGACTTAGCTACACCTACAGGTCCTGCCCACACCCAGAAAGACCACGCCCACAAAGATCAGATCACGCCCACTTGTGCAGGCCCTGTCCCTTCAGAAGACCACACCCATACATATATAACACCACGCCCACCTGCACAGCCCCCAGAAGGCCACGCCCACACGTACAGGCTCTGCACACATTCAGAAAGCCATGCCCATATATTATAGGCCCTACTCACAGTCAGAAAGCCACATCCATACCCAGGACCTGTCCATACTCAGAAGGCCACGCCCACAACGCAAGCCCTGCCCACACCCAGAGGGCCACGCCCACACAACCTAGAACCACGCCCCACCCATAGAAGGCCACGCCTACACATAAAGGCCATTCTCGCATCAAGGGAGCCACGCCCACACCCAGTCAACCCTTCCCATTTCAAAGGCCCCGCCCACATGGCACAGCCCCCAGAGCCCCCATCTCCACCTCCCCAAGTCCACCTGTGCAGATGGAAACTGGGGGACAGCTTCTCTCTCCAGACCCTGCAGCTGGGAGTGAATGTTGGCCAGAGCTCGCTGCGACAGAGTCAGCCTCTGAGGGAAGACAGGAGGGACACGCCCGGGTCCTCAGGACTCACAGCTTGGTGTCCTGACATCTTCCTCTCCCCCCAGCACCCCAAGTCCAGGCCCCCAGCCCCCTCTCCACACCCGTCCCCCTTCGCTCCCAGCCCTAACCTGTTGGAAGGGGTTGGAGACCGCCTGGTTGCAGAGGAAATAATAGTTCAGGATGTCTGAAGCAGGAAGGGAGAGGGGCACAGTCATGAGGGGCCCAGACCCCGAGACCCCTCCAGAGGAAGACGGGAGGGAACACCGCCTATCTCTCCAACCCATGTGCTGGTCACCCCGCACCTCAAGGACCCCTCTATGATCCCAAAGGCCTGTGGCCCCTGCCCCTGATCCCTCCTGCCTGACCCCAACCCGGACACGCTCTGGCCTCTGCATTCGCCCAGCAGAGTCCGATCTCTCTAACAGGTCAGTCGGAACTGACCCCTAGCTGACCCTCAAGCCGGTTTTCATGGGCTGTAGATCACATGGGAGGAGATTGCCCACCTTTCTCCAAGGGAGCAAGCAGCTGGTGGATTAGAACCCTATGCCTTTGGGTTGGCAGCGCAGCACCTTACCACTAGGCCACCAGAGCTCCCTCACTAACAGACAGTCACCTCATTTCTCTAGGGGGCATTTCTCATTTCTCCCTTGAGGCCCAGCTCCACCTCTCCTCCACGGGAAAGGGCGGCATTTGCGAGTGGGGGCAGGGAAATGGGCATATGTGAGGCCTCCCCACTCCATCCCAGCAAAGCCGGATACAGGGGACACCTGAGGAAAACCAGGCGGATCGGGGTCACCTGAGCTGAGCCCCGTCTCCTCTTGGGTCAGGTTCAGGACATAGGCATCTGGGTTGGAGCAGAAGTCGCTGAGGCCCTGAGGAAGGTGAGGGGAAGGGAGGGGCTTTAAGTTCAGATTTTACAAAGATGGGGCCAGGTAACTCCCCATGCCCCTCTAGTTCTTGGGGGCCAGGGGGGCCAGGACCCAGCCTTTCTCTCTCAGTCCAAGATTTACAGACTCCAGCCTCTCCTCTATCAGACCTGGGAGCCCAGGCCCCTTCTGGTTCAATCCTGGAGTCCATGGAGTTCTGACCCCTCCTCCCTCAGACCAGGGGGTCCAGGTCCCTCTTCCCTCAGACCAGGGGTCCAGGTCCCTCTTCCCTCAGACCTGGGGGTCTGGGCCCCTCCTCCTTCAGACCAGGGGGTCCAGGTCCCTCTTCCCTCAGACCTGAGGGTCTGGGCCCCTCCTCCCTCAGACCAGAGGGTTCAGGTCCCTCTTCCCTCAGACCAGGGGTC